GGGGCCATACAGTGAGGTCATCAGTAGAGAGTGCGTGGGCCTGGTTCTGCTTTTATTGGGGTCAAGGGTGGGGGCCTAGGGTTTTGTGGGCTCATTCTTTATTGGTTAATTTAAAACATAAGAGGAGAGATTTAATGTGTGGGAAGAGAAGAAACAAGTGGCTCAAAACATCGGCGATTGAAATCAATCAAGACCTCTAAAACAAAGGAGACTCAGTTGGGGCAGGCAGTCTGTCTCTTACCTAGTTGTGTGGTTGATAATGTGTTTATTCGAGGTAACCATCATTGAAGTGGATGCCTCTTTAAAGTGGATGCCTTGGCAATCAGATCTTAAGTCAGGCACTTTCATTGCAAAAAAGAAAGAAAACAATTGTCAGGGCTTATGCAAGGATGCCCACTCTTGCCACTTTTATTCAACGTATTATTAGAACTCCTAGCCACAATAATTAGGCAATAAAAAGAAATAAAAGGCATCCAAATTGGTAAGGAGGGGGTAAAACTGTCACCATTTGCAGATGACATGGTATTATATATAGAAAAAAAGAAAAACCTGTTAGAACTAATAAATGAATTCAGTAAAGTTGCAGGATATAAAATTAACATGCAGAAATCAGTTGCTTTTCTATACAGTAATTATCAGAAAGAGAAATTAAGAGAATAATTCCATTTATAATTGCATCAAAAATAATAAAATATCTAGGAATAAATTTAATCAAGGAGGTGAAAGTCCTGTATTCTGAAAACTGTAAGACATTAATGAAAGATATTTCAGATGACACCAGCAAATGGAAAGATATGCAATGCTTATGGATTGGAAGAATTAATATTGTTAAATTAATATTGTTAAATTAATATTGTTCAAATGTCCATACCCAAAGCAATCTATACAGATTCAGTGCAATCTCCATCACAATACCAATGACATTTTTCACAGAACTAGAGCAAAGAATCCTAAAATTGGTGTGGAATCACAGAAGACCCCAATTAGCCAAAACAGTCTTGAGAAAGAACAAAGCAGGAGGTATCATACTTCCTGATTTCAAGCTATACTGCAAAGCTATAGTAATTAAAACTATATGGTACTGGGGCGCCTGGGTGGCTCAGTTGGTTGGGTGACTGCCTTCGGCTCAGGTCATGATCCTGGAGTCCTGGGATCGAGTCCCGCATCAGGCTCCCTGCTCAGCAGTGAGTCTGCTTCTCCCTTGGACCCTCCCCCCTCTCATGCTCTCTCTCTCTCTCTCTCTTTCTCTCTCTATCTCATTCTCTCTCTAAAATAAATAAATAAAATCTTTAAAAAAAACTGTATGGTACTTACATGGAAACAGACAAATAGATTAATGGAAGAGAATAGAGTCTGGAAATAAACCCATACATATATGGTCAGCTAATCTATTCCAAAGGAGGCAAGAATATAAAATGGGGAAGAGACAGACTCTTCAATAAATGATGCTGGGAAAACTGGACAGCTACATGCTAGAGTGAAACTAGACCACTATCTTACACATATATAAAAATAAATTCAAAATGGATTAAAGACTTGAATGTAAGGCCTAAAATCATAAAACTCTTAGAAGAAAACATAGGCAATAAGCTCTTTGACATCAGTCTTAGCAATATTTTTCCATTCAGTCTCCTCCAGCAAGGGCAACAAAAGCTTAAATAAACAAATGGGATTGCATCACAATAGAAAGCTTTTCACAGCAAAAGAGACCAGCAGCAAAATGAAAAGGCAACCTACTGCATGAGAGAAAATATTTGCAAATCATATATCTGCTAGGGGATTAATATCAAAATATATAACTTTTACATAAATTACTAGCAAAAAGACAACCTGATTGAAAAATGGGCAGAGTACATGAATAAACATTTTTCTAAGGAAGACATACAGATGGTCAATAGCACATGAAAAGATGCTCAACATTGCTGATTGTCAGAGAAATGCAAATCAAAACCACATTGAGATATCACCTCACACCTGTCAGACTGGCTATTATCAAAAAGATGAAAAAAATAACAAGTGTTGTTGAGGATATGGAGAAAAAGGAACTCTTCTACTCTCTTGGTGGGAATGTAAATTGGTGCAACCACTATGGGAAACAGTATGGAGGTTCTTCAATTTAATCCTTTTGTATGTAGGTGTCCAATTTTCCCAACACCACTTATTGAAGAGTCTGTTTTTTCCCCCTTTTAAATTCTTGCCTCCTTTGTCATAGATTAGTTGACCATATAAGCATGGGTTTATTTCTGAACTTTCTATCCTGTTCAGTTGATCTATATGGCTAATTTTATGCCAGTACCATACTATTTTGATTATTATAGCTTTGTAGTATACCTTGACATCTGGGATTGTGAAACTTCCAGTTTTGTTTATCTTTCTCAAGATTGCTTTGGCTTTTTGAGGTCTTTTGTGATTCCACACAAATTTTGAATAATTTGTTCTAGTTCTGAGAAAAAGTACTATTGGTATTTTGATAGGGATTGCACTGAATCTAGATTGCCATGGGTAGAATGGACATTTTAACAATATTAATCCTGGGATGCCTGGGTGGCTTAGTTAAGTGTCCAACTCTTGATTTTGGCTCAGGTCATGATCTCAGGTTTGTGAGATCGAGCCCTGTGTCAGGCTCCACACTGGGTGTGGAGCCTGCTTAAGATTCTCTCACTCTCCCTCTCTAAAACAAACAAATAAACAAACAATATTAATTCTTCCAATCCATGGGCATGGAATATCTATTTGTGTTGTCTTCAGTTTCTTTCATCAGTGTCTTATAGTTTTCAGTGTAGAGATCTTTAACTTCCTTGGTTAAATTTATTCCTAGGTATTTTATTCTTCTTTGTGAAATTGTAAATGGGATTGTTTTCTTAATTTCTCTTTCTTCTATTTCATTATTAGCCTGAAGAAATGCAACAGATTTCTTTCTTTTTTGGGAGGGGGAGAGAGAGAGAGAGAGAGTGAGGAGGGTTGTGGGGGGAGAGGCAAAGGGAGAGGGAGAGAGAGAATCTTTTTTTTTAAATTTTTTTATTGTTTTGTTAATCACCATATATTACATCATTAGTTTTTGATGGGAGAGAGAGAATCTTAAGCAGGCTCCACGCCCAGCACAGTGCCTGATGTGGGGTTCGATCTCACGACCCTGAGATCATGACCTGAGCCAAATCAAGAGTCAGATGCTTAACCAACTGAGCCACCCAGACACCCCACAACAGATTTCTTTATATTAATTTTGTATCCTGCACCTTCTTTTGGAATGATGAAACTGTTCTAAAATGTATTGTGTGGATGGTTGCACAACTCTGTGAATGCAAAAAACCACTGAATTTTACACTTTACAGGAGTGAATTTTGTTTATAAAATTCATAATTACCATCATTAAATACATACCAGGTGCTCACTCCCAGTCACTGTCCTGTGAGGCATTGTGGCACATGGATGAGAAGGAGAATACTTGTTCTTTGTGCTCTGGGAATGTCTCAATGGGTGTTCTTAAATGGAAAGATGCAATAGATCCACAAATAGTTTAATCAAGATGTTGCAATACTCAGTGCTAATCTCTGGGCATAGACCACACTCAGAAAGATCTCAACACCTCTGGGTGCCAGCTTTAGGAATTCAGAAAGATTTCGAAATGTGGACTGCTCCAATATTTATGTAACTTAGACATAGTATTATTTATGGCTTACAGTACTGTGAGGTACCTGGGGGCAGGAGCTATGCCTTGTGTTCATTTTGATTCCCTTGCTTAGCGTTGTGTCTGGTCTATTGGCTGGTGATTGAATTTCGCAGTGTCCTGGTTTGTTCCTAGGACAAAAATGCCTTCAAACTTATGGCTGCCTATTCTGACCAGGCTGAGGGTTGGCCCTGTGGCGAAGGTGTTGCAGAATTCACCAACTGTCCTCGTGCAACTGTTTCTTTTCTCATAACCGGTAACTATTTTGTTTCTTTGGTGTTTTCACTCTGATTTTGGTTCAAATAGTGACTTGGAATAATATGTGGGTACTTCTGGAGTGTTGTGCTTTCTTTCCTGGTAGTATACTGAAGACTTTGGGTTCCTGGGTCAGTGAGATTTAGGAAAACAAAAGGTGGAATTAACCTCACTTTCTTCTTCTTTTTTTTTTTTCTTTTGATCATATTTATCAAACAGCAGTGCTATAGATTTTGTGTAGCTTATGGGTCTTTGCTGTAATAAGAAATTGTTTTTCTTTTTTCTTTTTTTTTTCTCTGTGAAGGTACTTTATGTTGATTCTTTCTGTTAAATATCCTTTGCTTGCACTGGACTTTTCTTTGTGTTGATTTTTTGCTTCATTTTTTTTTTCCATTTCCCATGCTGTTCAGTTACTGGATGCCAGAAGAACCAAGGTTTGTCCACTCTTTGCGGCTTGTTTGTTTTGCTCTGCACAGCCTCACCTCCTTGTGTTTGTGTCTGTCCCTGTCTGCATTTGTTCCCTTTTGCTTGCAGATGCAGTAATCCTGTTTACTAAACTTGTTCACAGCTTTATTTGTAAAAAATAAAGTCTTCGTTTGTGTCTACTTGTAGTGGATGCTATTATTTTCATTTTTTTAAATGGAAATGCATTTATCATGGAAAGTAATGGATAGTAGAATAAAGAACACCTTAGGAAACAAGGAATACTGAGTCTGGAGCATTGCGGGCGTAAAGAAGGTGTGTTTGTGAGACTTTCCCTTCTAACCCTTTCCACTTCCTCAATTGAAACTCTGTAGATGTATAATTTCCCTCGTGACTGACACTAATATATTGTTTCTGTGTATGTGTACATTTCTCTTCTAAGACATTCAGAAAGCATCATTGAATTAATTCCCCCCTCTCCATGTGCTGTCCCATGCTTCTGAAGTCACCCTGGAGGACTTCACGGCTGGCCCTCTGGACCTACCTCATGATTAACATCCCATCTTCATAGTGTGGTAGTAGCAAATAGCGCTTGGCATCTCCATTGACTTTTTCCCCTTCTTTCTCCTCTCCTGCTCCATCTTTCTCATCACAGCACCTGCAGTTGACAATCCAAGCCCTTCAGGATGAGCTTCGGACCCAGAGAGACCTCAATCACCTCCTGCAGCAAGAGAGTGGCAACCGTGGAGCTGAGCACTTCACCATTGAGCTGACTGAGGAGAACTTCCGGCGGCTCCAAGCTGAGCATGACAGACAAGCTAAGGAGCTGTTCCTCTTAAGGAAGACCTTAGAGGAAATGGAGCTGAGAATTGAAACACAGAAACAGACCCTCAACGCCCGAGACGAGTCGATTAAAAAGCTTCTTGAGATGTTGCAAAGTAAAGGTTTGCCTTCTAAAAGTCTCGAGGATGACAATGAACGGACACGGCGGATGGCAGAGGCTGAGTCTCAAGTCAGCCACTTAGAAGTGATTTTAGACCAGAAAGAGAAGGAAAACATACATCTTAGAGAGGTAAGGACATTCACTCTATTTCCCCAAAGCCATATTTTACAAGTTAAAATATGTTACCAAGTTATTTTCACAGATTGGAAGATTGCAGCCTTAACAAAATTTCCTGGCATCCATTTTATAATCTTCCTGTCTGCTTATCACCTTTAAGCTGGAATTTTGCATTAGTTTTTCTTTCTCTGCTCACTACACATGTGTTCCATCGTTACTCGACATGTATTGGGGATCCAAGTACGTGCAGCACCTGCCAGCTTTAAGGTGGTTTACAATTGCTTTCCCACACATGGCCATAGTTTCAGGGTTTTTTAAGTACAATACTAAGTTTTAGATGTTTATCAAATACATCTCTCTAAAGGAGCAAAACAAATAGGTGATTAGCAAAACAATGAATCTAGATATTTTTATGGCTGAATTGGGGCAACATTTGCAGAAAATAAAGCGTATGGATATTTCTGGGAAAAATGGTAAAATGTGCAGACAAATTTTGAACATTCAGGTTTAAGATAATCCTTGTCTGCATTTTCTTTTGTCTAGGACAAACTGTCCCAGGTTTTCTGAGTATGCATTTTGCCCTTAGTGGATTAAATCATTTGAAGTCCTTCAGAGGCACTCCAGCCTGCCACCACTATTGAATATTGGGGTGCTCAGATATCTGAGGATATGTAGTTGGATAGAGTTTAGAAAAAATGTGGGTGACAGCCAAGCTTTGAAATTTTTACAGCAGTTCCTTGCTGCTATGGTGGATGTGGATCTCAAAAGTACCATGTAGGCAAAATGCTGAGGGAGACACAGATCTCACAGAAAATAAGAAACAATAAAATGGCATTAAATATATTTTAAAAATATTCTATCACAATAAATAAAAATTCCAAAAGATATTTGCTTTCAGACCAAATTAGATTTCTTGGCATTATATACCTTTTCGGATGGGCAGTTCTTGTGAGTCATTTTTTGGGTTGTTCAGAAAACATGGCTCCCATGTTGGGGCTTGCTAATGCAGATGCTCCCAGGAGCATCTTAGAACATTTGAATAGACTTTTGTATCTTTAGACTTAATGTCCTTCATGCTTATTCTCCCTTGATTTATTTTCATGAGACATTGACAACATGCTTGGGAAACCACATGGCTTGGTTTTAGATGGAGATGCTTAAAGAGATGTTTTGTTGGGACTGGGTCTTCCGATCCATATTCCAAGAGGCTGAATGTCATGGTTAGGCTTCTAATGATTTGTACTTGTTTGAAATCATACCCTTGTCTAAATCCATGTCCTTGAGTACAGACTGAACCTAGTGACTTGATTCTAAACAATAGAATATGCTGAAGGTAATGGGATGCCAATGTGACTTCCATGATTAGGTTATATAAGACTGTTATTTCCATCTTGTAAGCAGACTATTGTGTTCTCAACTTGCCTGCTTTGATGAAGCAAGCTGCCATGTGAGAGAGGCTCATGTGGCAAGGGACTGAGGGTAGCCTCTAGTCAACACCCAGTGAGGAGCTGAGACCCCCACTCAAACAGCCACAAAGAACTGAAAATTGCCAACAACCACTTAGTGTGCTTGGAAGTGGATCCTTTCCCAGTGCAACCTTCAGATAAGATGACAGGCCCTGGGCTGACACCTTGATTGCAGCTTTGTGAGACACTGTGAAGCAAAGGACCCAGCTAAGCTGTGCCTGGATTCCTGACCCACAGAAACTGTGAGATAATAAATGTGTGCTGTTTTAAGCTGCTGAATTTAGGGGTAATTGGTTACACAGCAATAAATAACCAATAGAGTGGAGCATAAACTAATCTCTTCCTGCTTTACTCCCTAGACTTTACATTTAGTTTACAGAAGAGAAGAAATAACTACTGTCAGTAATCACTTGCCTGTAAAGCAGCTGTGGATTTTGAAATTTTGGTTGTGTTATCTTAGAACTGTGGCTGGAGATTGCCATAGTTGAAAAAAGTTGCTGCTTTATTTTGGGTGCCAAGGGATCAAGTTGCATGTACAGCCGGGCAGTGATGCCAGAGAAACCTCCATCTGCAGTGTTGACCTTGACTTCATGTTGGGGTCTTGTGGTTGGGGCAGAGTCACTCTTTTTCTGTTATTAGATTCTGCTCATTGGTAGCACTAAGTAGATGGTGCCTTAATACTGTTGTGTGGATGCCTCCACTTAAATGAATGTAAACAAAATTCAATTTGTGTTTTACAAGATTAGTTTGCCCTCACAGTGGTCTGGCATGGAAATAGATCATGTTCAGAGCCTTAACCATCAGTCTGAGAGCCCACAGAGAGTGGTACAGAAAATTCAGCCCAACACATCCAGCTAGTGTCCTTGAGCATCAGGTGAAATCAGTGGATTGCCTTTTTTTTGGCTTATCAAGAAGGTGCATGTGGAAAAGGTGTCTTTTTAAACTTAACTCAACAAAAAGACTTGGAGGCCTGAAAGGACATTCCCCAAGAGAAGGATTGTACTGGGTTCTGAGAGCCATTTGTTACATTTTCAGGAATTTTGTGAACCTGCTTTTAAACTATTGATAACTTGGAATTAGTCATGGTAGGAGTATTTACACCATGGAAATCAGCAAATGCTACCCCCAGGGCCTACGCCCCTGCCACCCCATCCCTAAAGCCCATTTACCAACACATCTCTGAATAAATGCCATGAAATGTTTACCCACAATACAGCAAGAAAAGGCAAGTTAAATAGTGCAAGAATTATGAGTGCCTTAACCACTCATCATTCCTTAGAAGTTTAAATAACAGCATCTGTATAGATGCTTATGTTTCAAACACTTCAAAGAATGCTCTCATTGATTCATATTTAACTCTCACAACTACCTCGTGCATTCAGTTATCCATCCATTCAATGAGCACTTACTGAGGATCTGTTTTGGGATAAAGCAATCATAACTAATAAAGTTTGACTTCATCGTGCTTATATTCTGTGGGGATGACACATAATTTAATAGTTAAACAGAGAAGTATCATGAAGAAAAGAAGATGATGAAGAACTAGTGACTTGGGTGGGGCCAACTTGATATTGGGTGATCAGGGAAGGCCTCTTGGAGGGGGTGATATTGTGAACTGAGACCTGAATGACAAGAAGGAACCAGCCATGTGAAGCTCTCAGAAGACTGTTCCATTCATGTGGAAAGACCCATGCCTGGGAGGTAGGTGCTATTATTTGGCCCATTTTACCTGGGGAAACTGAGGAACAGGTGACACTAAGAAACTTGCTCAGCTTCCCAGTGGTGAAGCTGGCATTCGAATTGGGCTGACTCCAGAGTTTCAGCCATTAAATCATTTCACGAAATCCCTTTTCTAGAGGAATCTTTCCCAAAATGTGCTCTTCAGAACAGCCATTCTGTGGGATGCTGATAATGTGCTATGAGAGAAAAAGGGCTGCAGGGCCAAATGAGCTTGGGAAAATGCTGGATTCTGTAGAGTTTACTGTAGGACTTCTCAGACTCCTTATTATGCAAGTGTGCATCAGTCATTCCCAGGAAGGGGAAGGTTCTTAAGCTTATTTAACTTGCTTTTGTCTTGCTGCACTGGTGTTCTTTGTAAAACACTTTGGAAAAAAGCTATGCTAGAAAATAAAAAGTGTGCTTTTAACTTGTGACCTGCAAAATATGTAAAAATATACAAATAGTTGTTTCCCATGGCCAAGTAGCTGGGTAATTTCCTCCATTAGTTATTCTAGAAGGCAAAGTTTATTATAAGCTGTTTCCATATTCTCTACTGAGTTTTAGAATGTTCTTCTGTCAGGGTATTTTTTTTTTTTACATTTTAGTGGAAAAATGTGGCTGACTGCTTTTGGTATTAAAGCAGTAAGAATAGCCCAGCTTGAATGAAGAAGTAGCCTGACCTCTGTTAATTTAAATGAATCTAAAACAGAATTTAAAATGTACTTGAGGTTTTAAGTTCAGTGTGTTCTGGTTTCTTTTTCATTTTGCACGGTTCAACCTGGTTTGGGGCTAGATGGCATAATACTGGAGAATGGAGTACTCGTGGTTTTATGATTCATTCTCAGGCAGAGGTGTTGGGCCTCATATAAACCCCATCTCCTGGAGTACTGGTCTTGTTTAGCCTATTGTTTGAGGAGATTTTGAGTTGGCAGGAGTTGCACATGGGGAGGGTTGGGTTGCTTTAGTGTCTTGTTATCTTTTGGTGGTCTGGAAAAGCTGAGGGCGAAACCACTTCTTTGCCTGGCAGGAAACAACAACAAAAAGACTATGATCTCAACTTATTTGGAAGACCAAAACCATTGCCCAAGAACTACAACTGATGTGCTAATGTGAGCCGAAGTGTTGGCTGAAATACAGCATTACTCACTAGTGTCGTGGGATGCTTTTGGATACAGGTTGATTTGATAAGACATTATTGGATGTGGTAATAGTTTACCTTGTTCTCTAGCTTTTTCTGCACAGAACATATTGTTTCCTGTAAAGGTTTTGGTAATCAAGTACCCCAAATACTATTGATTTCATTAAAGAAAAAGTGGGTTTATATGCCAGATTCTTATATATTCAATTCACTCTCCTTAATATTTCCTTGGCTGGTCCTTAGAAGAGAATCAGGGATCTCGGGACTCATTGCACTGTAGGATGTTTAAAGGGAAGGGTGTATGTTCTGCTGACATGTCTGTTGATTCCCTGTGCTAATCCCTTTGGGCAGCTTGCCCATCTTTGGTAGCAAGGGCTGAAGAGCAATCAAGTCATTGGGGGCCACAATTGCTACTAACCCAGGAGACTGGGACTGGGCTTCCCAACATGCTGCAGTTAGGGCAGGGAGGAGGAGGGTAAGGCAACATGAATTCTTGCTTTCCTCATTTATTTACCCAGGTTGTTCCTGAGACAATGGGAGACCCATCAAGGCGGAGTCTGTGACCTAGAAGTTCTTGAGCTCATAAACCTTTTACTGATGACTCAAATCTCTGCTATATGATCTTTGACCATAGTCTCCACATCTCAAAACCCTATGGCCTCTTTCTTTGGAACATAAACTTGTCTCCA